TCTTCATTTTCAACACTAAAATTGTGCACTTCTTCTGTAGTCATGATTTTTGTCTTCCTCATGTTCAACTTGGTCCTGCTTTGACACCTTCTTCTTTCAATTTCCCTAACAGTCATTCTAAATCCTTGCTGCTTCCTTCCGGTAAAATGGCATCATCAGCATATGTCACATTATTGATGCTCCTTCCACCCATTTCCACTCCTCCTCCATCTGAATCTAGTCTGGCTTTCCATATAATATATTCTGAATGCAGGTTATAAGCAGATAAAGAGATGCCAAAGGCAGGCTGTTGGAAAGCCATTAACTATGGCAAAGTTACAAAGACCAGGGAATCAAAGGGCAGTAAACAATACAATAAAAATTGCCCCGTAACTAAGGGCAAAGTTCATCCAAGTTTCAATAGGCGGCTGAATTAACGTATTTGGTTTTCTCCCAAGCCTAGGGGGAACACGTGGCTTTCATGGGGCAGGGGGTTCCACAGGGCAAGCAGAACTATGAATGCAGGCCCTTTCTCTGGTGTTTCCTTTGTGGGACTTCAGAGGTAGTCACAACTGACAGGAAGAGCTCTCCAGCTAATCTTATTTTTATTTTAATGTCTTACTGATATTATTTTGATTTGTCTATATTGTATTATTTTATACTATTGGCCTTTTATTGCATTGCTTTGTCTTTATATTCTGTTTTATTGTATCATGTAAATCACCCAGAGTGGCTTGGGTTGCCAGATGGCTGGCTGGCTGCCTGGCTGAATCTTTGCAAGCAGGGAAAATGCAGCTTGAAAGGTACCGTGGGTATCTTGAAAGACATCAGATGAGCCTATAAAGTGAAAGTAGAAACAAACTGGAAATCCGTAGCCCGGGTACCCCGTGGTCCAGAAGCCCAACTCGGGGCTCGGGAGCCCCAGGGCTTCTTCATTCTGAGCCAGGAGATGTCTCCAAACGTCCTTCTCCCCTTCGCCCTCCCGGAGCTTTCCGGAGTCACCTCGCCCCCCATTTAATGGGTTTCATGTTTGGATGCTCTACTTGGGAAATGAAAAAGAGGATTTAACCTCCACACGCTGCCTTGGAAGCTGAAGTGGGGGCTCAATGGGGAGACCCACGCAGGAGGGGGAAAAATGAAGGTGGGAGCCTTCTAGGCTTCTGGGCAGGCGGGACGCCCTCTGAGGCCAGCAGCGGCCCTTGCCCAGAGACCCTGGGCTCTTTGCAAAAGGCCAAGCCATTCCCACTGGCAGAGCACAAGAGAAGGTGGCAAGCAGGGAGGAGCTGGGGTGTGTGTGCAAGATTGTGACCTCTGTTCAAAGGCTGGCCCCTGACTGACTGACTGACTGACTGACTGACTGACTGACTGACACACACACACACACACACACACGGCCACCACCTCTCTGCCGGCAGCAAAGCTGCTCTGGCTTCTTCTGCAGGTGGGGCCAGGCAAGAGAGGCCCCTCTCCAGCCGAGCCCCCTGGGGAGCAGGGCAGGACCCTCAGTCCAATGCTCCTGTGTCCCCATGACTACAAACTGAGGTGTACGTGTGTTGTGCACATCCTGCTCCTCCAGAAGGGCTCTCTCCCCCCACCATTAGACTGAGCTGGTTTGTGCATGTGTGCGCGCACGTGCACACACACACACACTGTCCGGGGGGTGCCTCGATTCAAAGGCTTTATTTTTAGCACAAACCTTAATTTGAATTCACTTTGATGTGTTATTTTGAGCCTCCCTTCTGATTAACTCAGCATCAAGGAGCGCCGACTGACTTCTAGCTCTGGAAGAGAGAGACCTTCTCTCCTTGTTCTCGAGGGCAGGACCCCAGAACCACCGAGAAGCGGCAGAGAGGCTGCGAGGGGCTAATATTTACTCCAAAGGGCCAGAAAGACAGTGCCTGGGCTGAGCTTTCCTCCTTACTCCTAGGAAGAGGCTCTCCTCCGGGGTGGGGGGCCGGAGAAGAGGCATGAACTGAAATACCCGCATCAACAGTGATAGAAGAAACCTCCCTGTGTCCTACTTACGCCCACCTCGGCCGGTGGACTTGGACCGTCCACGAACACACACAGGACCCTTCTCTGCAGGACAGTCCAGTTGAAGGGCTCAAGTGACAGGAAACCAGATTTTGGTTGAAGATCAGGGAAAACCTCCTGTTACAGCAGTACAACAATGGGACCCATGACCTCAAGGGGTGGTGGCGAGCACTCCAACACTGGAGGCATTCAAGACAACCACCTTGGATATTTGTATTCTTGCATCGAGCAGGGGGTTCAAACTGATGGCCTTAGAGGCCTCTTCCAACTTTATGATTTCTATCAGACCCTGGTCAGAACACTACAGAATTCAGAGTCTGGTACTCGGACCCTGTGCTGGGAAAAAAGGTCAGTTCTTAAGATGACAAGGCCAGTGAAAACAGTGGTGCCAGGGGAAGTATTTAGTCAAGCATGAGGAGGAGCCTTGGCATAACGTGGGCATCAAGACCTGCCAAAGGGTCAGCAAGACAGACCAGAGGGGTCCAGTCGGGCAGGGTGGATGACACTGCAGACCTGGGTCAGGGGGACAGCTCCAGCCACGGGCTGCGCCAAGCACAGGAGGGGCAAAAATAACCACGATAACTGGGCAAAACAGAACTGATAGTCTCCCAAACAGCCAACTTGATTTTAATTTAAGGAGGGTGGTTGAGAGGGTGGTGGCTGACCAGCTTCAAGCACATCTGGATGAAACAGATGCCCTGGATCCTTTTCAGTTGGGCTTCAGGCCATGCCACAGTACAGAGACAGCATTGGTCGCCCTGTACGATGATTTGTTGAGGGAGGCCGACAGCGGTAAAATATATTTGTTGGTTCTCCTCGACATCTTGGCGGCCTTCGATACCACGGTATCCTCCTGGGGAGGCTCTCTGAGTTGGTTATCTGCATCTCATCCATTTTTTGTTTATGTTCTGCATATAGATAAAACTGATAGGGAGATAAAATATACTCTTATCTGCCATGACAGGAAGATTAAAAAAATTGATAGGGAGATAAAATACACCCTTGTCTGCCATTTTTGTCAATAGAAAATTATTTGGAATGTTTTTCATCTTCTGTCCTAACCTTAGGCCCTAGCCTAAACAAAGGCATTTTTTAACATCTATATGAGGCCACTGGGTGGGGTCATCAGGGGGTGTGGAGCATCATGTCATCAGTATGCTGATGACACAGCTCTACATCTTTTTTCACCAACTGCAGGTGATGCTGTCCGTTCTCTTCAGTGTTGCCTGGGGGCCATACTGCAATGGATGCAGGAGAACGGGCTGTCTCTCTCTCTCTCTCTCTCCACTCCTCTCCTGCTGCTTGCCTTTGCTCAGTGGCTGCCGCTGGGAGCAGCAGCCGAAGCAGGGAGGAGCTTGGAGGGACTCGCAGGGCGATGTGGCAAGCCGAGTCCTGGGTCATAGATCTGGCTGGTTCTTCGGACAGAAAACCAGGAGCGGAGCGGCACAGGATCTTTAGCTTTAGCCCTCTCAAAGGTGCTGACTCCCGACATGGTTCTAGCTGAGCGTTTTCTAACTGGCCTGGGGCACTTGAATGTAGGCATCCCAAATTTCAGCAGCAGTCAGAGCGGTGGCACTTAACAGTATTGTGCCTGCTGCTTGTGTTCTGTGGGTCAAGGCAACAGACAAAGTTAAGGAGAAACGGGACTGGGAGGGGGATTATTATTATTATTAATCTCCGAACTGCAGAACTGGAAGGGGACCTCTGGATCATCGAGTCCAGCCTCTCTCAAGGAGGCATAGCGGGGAATTGAACTCCCAACCTCTGGCTCAGGAGCCAGAAGCTACTAAGCTCTCCAGCAGTTCCCTGCAAGCTTTGGTGAGGAAACCCAGCTTGTCACCAGCGTTTGGCCTGCCTCTAGGCAACTGCCTCAAGTAGCCAATTTTGGGCATTTTGAAACGGGAGCCAATTTTCAGCTGTCAATTTTGCTCCGAATCATATTTTTGCTGCAAGGAATGGGGAGTGGGGATTGTGGTGGTCTATCGCGGCAGGCACCAAGATGCCTTGGGCTGGTTTTGGATTCATGGTTGAGCAGTACCGTTCTTTATTCAACCTCAGGAAGCAGAGGTCTGGGGTGTATTCTGCCTGTTGCCAGGAGTAATGGAGCCACGGCCCTAGACCTCTTCCTAAAAATATTTCTCAGTGTCACCCGCGCGACCCAGGAGGTGAGGCTGAGGAGCCTGACGCCAAGTGAGGCCCGAAAGGAAAGAACTAGAAACCGGGCCTTCTCGGCGGTGGCTCCTCACCTCTGGAATAACCTACCTCCGGAGATTCGCGCTGCAGCCTCGCTGGGCACTTTGAAGAACCAACTAAAAACGTGGATGTATAGTCAGGCCTTCCCCTTCCAGTTAATTCCTGTCCTCCTTCCTTTTTTATTCTTTTTCTCTTTATTTGATTTATTTTGTATTTTTCCCGTCGCAGAATCATTTAATTAATTAATTGTTATAAATTTTTCTTGAACTTGTTATCCTTTATGTTGTAAGCCGCCTAGAGTGGTCGAAATGACTAGATAGGCGGGGTATAAATACAACAAATAAATAAATAAATAAAGCCCCCTCGGCCATCACCTGCGTGCATGAGTGTTGGGTGTGTGTAAGGGGCCTCAGCCCAACCGTCAACTGACTGTCCTTCCTCCTTATCAAGGGAAGAATCTCCATATGTATTCTTCTGCTGAAGAAATTCTGTGATGTGGGATGGTCTGCCAGGACAGGATGTGACCCAGTCAATGGCTGTGCTCAAGACACAGCTTAGCTGAGAAGCCTTGTGTGTTTCCATCACAGGACGGGGGGGGGGTCGCATCCTGTTCAAAGAATCCATGTGCAGAGGAGGAAGGTGTGCTAATTCTCCAGCATGAAGTTTTACCTATTCCCTCAAAATGGGTGATAGCTTCGCTTCTTGCTCTCCGAAAGACAAAACACGTGGAATTTTTTTGTCCGGGGGCGTGTGGCATTTTTCAAAAGGCGCTCAAGCGATAAAGGAAGAAAAGCCCAGACACAGAGTTAACTTTATTACTCGGAAATGCTCTGCAGACAGGACAGCGCCCTGTGGTCCACTGCAAATGAAAACAACAACTCAACAGTTAACAAAGGAAAACGTTTCCAACCTGACGGCCTCTGGCCAGAAACAGTGGCTGCCAGTCTCTCGTTGAGAGTGGCTTATTGGGTCACCAGGCCACGTGTGGGTCTCCAAGAGGCCTCCTGCGGGCGGGCGCGCAGGGCAGTGGACAGGCACCCTCCGCATCCGTCCCCTTCAGCAAAGCTGACACCCATTCGAGTGAAGAGCTGCTCAGAGTCCCCTGGCTGAACAGACCACCCACCGTTTCAGCAGAATGAGGTAGGAAAGGAGACCGTGCCACTTCAGACTGCAAGCGAGGCGCCCTCACCCCTGACCTTTCTTTCGTTTACTTCAATGGGCTAGTTCTAGTGGTGGCATCTGATGGGTACAAGTTAGTTCTACCAGCTGCTTCAAGCGGTCTTGTCATAAAGCCTTCAAAAGCAACCCGGTTCCTTCTTAACAAAACCTCTCTTCGCTGGCCGACTCCCTGCTCCAAAGGAATTCTGGACAGCTGTCTTGAGCAGACAGGAAGCGTGGTGGTGTCAGTCTACGGCAACAGTCTGCCAGCTTAACAGTGTGAGTTATCTGTCAGGCCAAGCTCCTCTTCCATGAGAAGGCAAGAGTTAAACTTAAGCAACCACCACTCCTTTACACAGGACAAAGCTGTCGTATCACGCCTCCAACCTTCCACTGCTGGTCCAGAGCAAGAAGGGGCTCTCAGCAGGTCCCTTGAAACCAACAAGCATAGAATTTCTTTATCAACAACACAACTGGCTAAGAACGGCACAATCCTTCTGCGCTGCTCTCTCTCTCCAGAGCAGAACGCTAAAACCGACTTGGGCATCCTGAAAAATTTCACAAATCGACTGGGGAGAAGGAAGAAATCTTACTGGACATCAGCCATCAACGCTCAGTGCTGGCCCTCCATGTGGCCTGCTCGCTGCACAAGGAAACGCTAGGGGAGCTCAGACCAACAAGGTGGAAGGTGGTTGCCAGGATCTGCTGTACAAAATCCTATCCAAGAAGGATGCGCAAAAGGAAAAGAGGGAAACTCTTGGGATCTCTCCCCTCTAGGATGTACGCAGAGTTCTTGGGTACATCACAGAGTCCGGTGCCCAAGCAGATGCTTAAAGAGACATGACGTCTCTGGACCCTTTCTGAAAAGGAATGCCATGGAAGCTAGACCACCATACAGCTCCACCATACAGGAAGACACGCGAGCCCTTCTCAAACAAACGAGCACTATCATTGCCTCCTCCTCCTCCTCCTCCACCACCATCACCAGGAGTCCTTGGATTTGGGGCAGCCACCCTACGCTCCTCTGGAGTGGTTGAGAAAAGCTAATCAGAGCGCTCTCTACATCTGCCAAGGGAAAAAAAACAGCTGCCTATCAAGAACAGGGGGAACTGTGCTGCACTAAAATGCAACAGAAACAGCAGAAAACCTAAACAGGTACGTGTGAGGTTCCGTCTTAACAGCCGCAGAGAACACGGGTGGTTCAAAAGACGGGAGGCATTTCCGAGAAAGCCGCTGCGTCCTAAAGAACCAGGACCATCCAGTCCTGCGTGGAGGAAGGCAAGCATAACAAGATGCCGGATGCATTCACATTGTTATTCGGCTCTGCCAAAGGAATCTACTTGTGCGAGACTCAAGGCCGGTGCTGGAACTGGGGGAGGAGGAGGAGTAACTTTGCAAGAGAGTTGGGTTTTGTGTGGTTTTTCTCTCTATAAAGGGAGCCAGGGAGAGTCCTGGGCCAAGACGCCAGGAACGGTGACAACGCTTCTCCTTCCTCTTCCTACTTCATTCACGGACGCTCCTATCCCTAACTTTCAAACTATTCAAAAAGAAAAGAATAACTAGAACAACAAACAAAGAAAGTGGCCAACCCGCCCACCCCGACAGCCTCTCTTTGCATCCTCTACCATTTCAATTCAAAATCAAATCAGGCCACAGCACCCCTTCTCCTTCGTTGGTTATGAAAAGCAGGAACCACGAGTGCCGGGGGGGTGGAGGTTGGAGAAAGAGAGAGAGACAGGGAGGAGGGAATGCCACAGGGGAGAGCAGGATGATGCTCAAATCCTGACCCATCACAGAGGCCAATGTTAAGGCAGGGAAACCAAGACCGGCTCTCAGGGCCCTGATGGGATTTTGAGCCCTGACCCTTTTGAAGAGCCCTCTTTTGCCTGTTGCATGTGGGGCAACCTCTGTATTGAAACACAATCCCTCGCCCCTGGGGAAGGGGCCGGGTAGGGAAGCTGTTGCCCCAGAGAGCCAGGCCCAAAGTCCTCCTGGACCCACACACACATCTTGTGAAGTTCCCACCACTCCCAACTTGAAGCTTTTTTTTTTTTAGTTTGTTAAGTCAATGATACAGGTCTCTTTTACTACCCAAAGAACAGAGCATTCATTGTAAGCCTCTGGTGAAGATCACATCAAGGAGAGAAGGTGTGTGATGGCTGAAGCAGTTCTCTTCCCAGGCGGCCTCCGCACAACAAGGAAAACGGACACGGAAAAGCCTTAGGCCCTCCTTGCTGGGCAGCTGGGCTGAGATCCTTCAAAACTGCAGACGGGTAGCCCTGACGTCCTCTTCCAGCCGATACGGAGGCTGAGCTTCTTGCCTCCCGGTCAGCCGGGAAAAAAAGAAACCTCACACATTTCAAAGATCAAACGTTGAACTGATGCCATCAAAAAGACTTGAAAAAGGCATTTTCCCAACTGTTGGGAGCTTCCACGGTCATGGAGGGGGAAAAGGAAGAAGGGGGGGCTGCCGCCGCCGCCACCACCACCTGGCCCAGCCTGGCCTTCGCATTTGAATGTGGAGATGTGACACAAGAAATCCAGGACAGGAGCCAGCCAGCAGGAGCTAGGACTCTTCCCCTTCTGCACCTGGGGCCACCACACGCTGCCTCACGGTGTTGGACGAGGAGGATACGTGCGCTGGCTCCCTGGGCTCCGTCTCAGCATCAGAAAGGTCACTGCCGTTCACGCCTTCCCTCTTCCTGAAGCACTCAGCAGACTCCGGCCGGTTTTCTGGAAAAACAGCGGAAAGGCTTTACTACTGGCAAAGATGACCTGTTCAGATCACTGGAAACTATGATACGATGGCTTTTTTCAAATAAGATGGTGCCTTGCATAACGAGTGCCCCGTTTAACGACGAATCCGCATAGTGATGTCATCGCATTGTGATTGCATTGTGATGTTTTGAATACGTTTAACAATGAATCCGCATAGCGATGTGATGTTTTGAATGGCAAAATATCGCATTGCGATGATCGCTAAGTGTTTCACTTACCGATCTTTGAATTGCGATGTTTTGAAAACAGCTGATCAGCGGTTCCAAAATGGCCGCCGGAAGAAAAAAATGGCCACCCGCAGCATTTTCGCGCGGATTCCTCGCGTACCGAGGTGGCGAAAATGGCGGCCAGATGGAGGATTTCCGCATAGCGGTGAGTTTATCCCCCCATACAAACGCATTGAAGGGGTTTCAATGCGTTCATATGGGTTTTTTGCCCCGTATAGCGACGATTCCAGATAGCAACAATTTATCCGGAACAGATTATTGTTGCTATGCGGGGCACCACTGTATTTGAAAAGCCGTCCTATGGAGCATGGGTGGGATGGACTGGATGACCTCGTAGATCCCTTCCCACTTCACTTTTCTATGATTTTACACAGGCACCCAACACATCTGGCTCTGGGCAACACTTCAAACCTTGCAGGAGGTGCCCACCGTCTGGTGCAATCCCTCGCTTTAGTTTGGTCAGGAAGGGCAATCTGACCTGTGAATGAAAGACTCGGTCGGGGAGAGGGCTTGGCAAAAGCCAGCTGAGCAGAGTTCACGGCAGAGGAGAGAAGCCTCAAACTGGGGGCTTCCTTGTTGTAGCTCAGCCTCTCAGGGCCCTTCTACATCCCCCCCCCCGCACTCCGCAAGGCCAGAAAGAGGTGGGCCTCCCTCCGTAACAAGTCCTTCAGAGCGGGGCCACCACCAAAAGAGACTGGTTGCCTCTAGCTCCACTTCAGACTCTGCTGCTGAAGGCGTGCCTGTCCCAGACGACAGAGGAGGAGACAGAGGCAATACGGCAGCACTGGGAACTAGAGGGAGCTATTAGGTATGGATGGAAGACACCCCCATGATGATATTCCCTCTCCCTCTCCCTCTCCCTCTCCCTCTCTCTCTCACTCTCACACACACACAAGGCAGAAGAGCTAGGGATGTGAAAATGCTCACAAAATTATGCATTCTTGACATGATGTGTGAAAAAGGCATGTTAAGGCACTCCTTTTTTGTTTGTTTTGTTTTCGTTTTTTAATACTACGATCCTACTACTGGCAAAAGAATAAGGGAATAGGGTTTTTGTTTTCCCACCAAGAGTTTTGGGATTTTGCACAAAATGTCTGTGCGAAACCCCTGCCCTTTACTTGTGAAGTGTACACACACACACACACACACACACACACAGAGAGAGAGAGAGAGAAAGACGGAGGGAGGGAGGGAACACGCAAGGACTGGCTAATTGCTCAAAACCAGTCAAACAGTCCATGCATCCCAAATGTCAACAGTCTCCTCAAAAAAGACAACCATTATATTGTATCATTTTGCCCAAGTAGCACAAGCATCGTTCTTGCAAAGGCAAGAACTCCAGATAATATAAAAAGTGTTGCTGTTTCTTCTCACAAATGGGAAAGAGCTGAACGTGGATTTAATTCCCACACAACACACACATTTTTCGGGCTTTTGTGACCCTTTGCTGAATCTTCTTGGTTTCTTTCCAAGAGACCTAAAAGATTCCTAGTGATTCCAAAGGTTTTAGCATCGGCCATGCCAGGTTAAAACGGACTTAAGCAACAGAAAAATCCAGCCGTTTGCCCTGCCTGAGATGTTGCTGAATCGTACCACCAGTCAATGAGCAGCCTCAGGATACTTACTTTGAACAGGTGGTGGCCTGTGCTTCTTAGAGGGACAAATACAATCAGCCAGGAACACCATAATCTGAACGGGGGAGAAAAACACAACAAAACACACAGACACAGGCAGATGCATTATTCCTTCCTTCAACACATCTCCTAACTTACCTCTTTATTTTCCTTTCCTATCCAAAGACAGAGTCTTCTCTGTTTCTTGAGACAAACAAAGCACGGGTGCTTGTCAGGAAATTACAAGGTTTGTAACAGAAGAAACTGACATCTAAGACTGATCTTATAAAGGAAGTTGTTCATCAGCCATATGGCACAGCTGGGTATAAAGCTGAGTCACGCTGACCAGGCAGAAGGCTGACATAATCCTATCAGATCACCTAGAATGAGGTCATGATACTGACGGGTCATTTGTACCATATATTGTACATAGGGACACACACGTGGAGATGTGGAGGGTTTGGAGATTTGTTAGAGGACATGCCTCTGGAGTATTTTGTGAAGATGGTACCTATGTCATATAGACTTTGAAGAAGAAAGTGGCCGCCTCGTGTCTTTACTTCTCTGTGAGGATCTTGGAGGCTGGTGGTGGCACCCCTGCTTTGCTCAGCGCACCCCAAAAGAAATACGTGGCCCCGCTTACCAGCCCCAGCAGCAGTCCTGAAAACAACGTCGTGAGGGCAAAGATGGCGTAGGATCCCCAGGGCGGAATGCCAAGGTTTTCGGTGAAATAGCTGTGGCATTGCTGCAACCGAGAGGGAACGAAAAGGTCAAGCGGAGGAGACAGAGGGGCCAAACAGACTCTTGGCTCAGAGGAACGTCTGTGGCACTTACCCTGATCCACATGGACAACTGGAACAAGGCGGACATGCTGCTCATCCTGCCCAAAGGGAGAGGAGAGAGAGAGAATCAAAAATCATCCTGCCATCACGGCGGGCAAACACAAAACTCTCCGAGTGGAAAGCGAAGCCTGGATGGAGGATGGCAGTGGCTCTAAAAGGCTGGCTTGGTCTCTCCGGAGCCCGGCTCCTCAACAGCCTACATGGCGTGGTGGCCACGCAGGCAAATATCTTAGAGAACGTCTCCAGCAGAATCAGTTCACACATTCATCTCCACCTCTGGAGTCAGATGATGGAAAGGCCTGCCTGAAACAGCCCAATCTGCTAACATCAGAGCCAACGTATATATCGCCCAAAAGAGATCTCCCCTCTAACTCAAAGGGGAGACCAAATGCTTAAGGATCGCCTCCACTCAGAAAAAAGCAGATTTAGAAGACCTGCTCCCTCTAAGACTCAAGTTTTGAATTGCAAAGCATGGCGTTTTATCACAAAACCAGAGAGACAGTGAGCAATGCTGGGCTTTCACCTGGAAAACCCACATGCACACCTTTGGTTTGACCATGTAAAGCTTTTAAGCGGGTCTGTATCAGAAAGCGGAGGACTGATCACTTAACTACCCAGCCTAGCCCACCTCTCCAGACTATTGCACTGATCAAGGGGAAAGGCACTGGCCAGGGACACTTCTGTCCACTCACTGGAAAGAAAAGGTGGGTTTAACCACTTAAGAGGAAACACCTGGAGAGAGTGGACGCAGGCCAGGTATTAGGACTCTTCAGGTCCATCCCCTCTGTCCTGGCGGTTCCTTTACCGGAGCAGGTCCTGGGCACCTCAGCCACCCAACGCACGGGGGCTTTAAGGAGGACATTCTCCTGCTGGAGGGGGAGAGGATGTGGTCCTCCCCTTCCTTCCTCCCGCCCTCAAAGTTTGGACAGGCAGAACAGGGCTGTTATGGAATACTGATTTCACAGCTTAAAGATTCTGGGCACTGCTATTTCTGGATTTTAGAGATAAGCTCTACTAACGAGACGAGAGGCAAACCCTGTTACTTACAGGAAGGATGATGGGCCTAACCATGAAGAAACGGGATCAATGGATTTCCACTCTTGGTCACTGATGAAGTTGATAAAGTCATTTTTAGTCCGCGGGCCCTGGTAGCGTCTGAACTCTCCATCCTTGCAGCTGTTCAAAAGGGTACATTAGGTCAGTTGTGTTTAAATGACCCACCAGAGGAGCCACAGAGCTGTGACACCACAGAGCAGGGGTTGGCAAAATTAAGCCTCCAAGGCCACCTGCCCCCCTCCCCAAACAGCCCCATCAAATAAAGGAAACAAAAACTGTTCTTTTAAGGAAAAATATGAACCTCTTCTGCTCCTACAGTTCTCAAACAGTCAGCTTTGGCAGGATTGACAAAACATGCCCCCGCCAAGCTTTTAACATGCGGGGGGGGGCAGCAGGGACTCCCAGAACCCTCCTCCGTGGGAGCCAAGGGGGATTCTGGGAGTTGTAGTAAAAGAAGAAGAAGAAAGCAAGAGGAGTCCCTCTCGCCCGCAGCAAGGAGGGAAGGAGAGAGGTGCCCTCTTTTCAGCGCCTGCAACTGAACCACCACAGATACCTCCTAACATCAATCTTCTATGAAACTATAACAGATACCCCCCTTATTAGCTTGATAAATACCAAATCATTTGTACAATTAAACAAAATTGACAGGAATAATAATCTGAACTAGTTCTCTTTTACTGTCAATTTTATTTAATATATTTAATGATTCTAGCTTTCTCACCTCTTGTCATTCCAATCCTCTTTCAACATTATGGGAGACAGAACTAATACTCACAACCGCTTTTTCAATGGATGCTGGAGAAGAAATGTTAAGCCCTAACCTTGAGTTTTATTCATGTATTAGATGAGACTCCCCGTGCACTTACTGGTAGATGGTGGGAAGAGCTGTGATGATAAACCGCCCACTGAGGCCTGCAAAAAAGATCCAGAAAACAAGTGAAGGCTAGAGGTTTGTCTGAGACCAATTTATTTCAATGCTGTCTGCCTCAGAGATACTCCATCTCTCCACTCTGTAGCTGCACATGTTTCATGTGTCATCCCTGAAACTTATTCTTAAAAAGCCAGGCAGAAGTGGCACAAGCTACTTACAGAGCAGTCAAGCCCCCTTTCCTCAACACAGAATAAACAGCCAGATGCTGCTCCACAAAATGAAACCATCTCTTATATATAAGGAACACAAACTGCTTTTATAGTCTGTGTGTCTCTCTCTCACACACACACATGAAGCTGCACACAAGTGCACAAAGATGAGAAACAACTGCAAGCTTTCAGCCAGTATAACACCCGTGATATGCAATCAGTAATACGGTTTACTTGGAATAAAACTGAATTTTTAAAAAAATCTCCCCTTACCCTAAAATTCAGCATAACCTGCTTTAGGTAAAGGTAAAAAAGGTAAAGGTTCCCCTTGACAATTTTT